CAGAAAGTAGACGTAAAACTCCATTCACTACATTTGATTTGTGATAATGTGGAATTGAAAGGTCGACCAGGCGTGTTAAGAACCGAACCTACGTCAAACTCGATGGTCAGTGTGTTATGGTTTAGCTTTGTTATTCTCTGGAGCAAGTTGTTTTGAAGCTAAGTAATAAAGATTAAAAACTGATATAGTCAGAGATGTTCTAGTAATGTTTTGACTACTGTACTATCTTAATAGGATCTTTCTGCCTCTATTAATACTTGTCATAATAATAACCCTTCTTATTAGCTTGATACGCAGATATCTGCTATATCAGTACTTTTCTACCTAAGTGAGATCATTCCCCTCGGAGAATCCTTCTGCGTGCTTTGGCATCGTATTTGCGGATCTTAAGGAAGAGTGTCTTCAATGAACAGCCAGTTGTGACTTGCAAAAATCGAACGGTGCTACAATCTGCAAGTTACAGATCCTTCCCATCATACAGACATGTATCGTGGTACCGTGTGGCACAGGAACATTGTAGAGTATCCCGTATTGTTTTGATGAACTCATTATTGTTTTGTAGATGCCAAAAGTAATGCCAATTTTTTTGTCATGGTGAAAATACCAAAAACTACTACAGACCCAATAACGGATCGGAGCAACTCCTATTAAAAGTGAAATTTTATGTCTGGCCCTAAACGTGCCGATATCCCATCTGTATATCACGTATCATGTCCAGATGTGTCAGGCTATTAAGAAACAAGCTAATTATGAAAATATAAAATTAGTCTTCACATCTCCTTTAAAAGTTGTTGTATTCCAATAGTTCTGAATAAGTTTCTTGATACGGTTTAATATTTTTCCAATGGTTCTAACGATCAAGGTTCTATGTTAAAGATGTTGATACAGTGGTTTAATATTTTTCCAATAGCTCTGATGATCAAGGCTCTATGATAAATATGTTGATACAATGGTTTATATTTTTTCAATAGCTCTGACGATCAAGGTTCTATGTTAAGTTTGTTGATACAATGGTTTACGGCTTGTTGGTTGTTGACGGTTTATTTCAGCCAAAATTTCATCCTATTTTAACACTTGTTTATTGTTTTTAGTAACTTCATTACCCTCGTTCTTCGACCGTTGACCGTTTAACAACTAGTAGCCAAACTAATTAGTCGTTTATCTTTTATAACCTTGCCTTTGATAAGGATAAAATACGTGATGCAGGTACGAATTTGGGAATGTTTTCCGTCTTAGCCTGCTTGACATTATTATCAGTGTTAGTGTTATGAGTCTCATAAAAGCACTACAACTACAAACAAACCAAGATTAGTGTTGTTATTTCGTTTCATAAATTTACACATAACAGAATATGAACGCAAAATAAACCAAAACGAAACAAAACGAAACGGAAAAGACAATACTATAACTACTGGAAGGCAGTCTCAGCCGTGCAAATTAAGTCTTCATGTCTAAGCAGAGTTAGTGCCTTGCCAGATAATAGCAAAGAGTATAACTCGCTGCCCCCTATTCCTTGTATGTGATTGTATCTACTAAGGCCAGGGGGTATTATGTGTTAAAGAGCATACTTTATGTCTAACATTGTGTCAAATAATTAATTTAATTACATCATATGAAATGAGAGCTAAGCTATATATACGACATGCTGTAGAAACCTTTATTAGTTTACGCATTTGCCTCCAGAAATAATCGAAAAGCGTCAAAATTACGTAAAATGACGATAGTTGTCTGACAATATCCGTAGGCTATTAATTGAATTAACAAAATATTATTTAAAACAACAAGATTCATGTTGTAATTTCTATTTCTGGTTCAATGACACTTGATAGAATTAAAAATACACATACAACGCACTGTAAAGCTTTTCCGTTAAAAATCGACGTTAGGTAAGCTGTAGTTTAGAGTGCTTAGTATCGCTTGGCTTCATTTGAACTATTTTTTTCTGTTAAAGATGATTCAAGAAGAGCTGTAGTTCAGTCAGTTAGAGAGCTTAGTATCTCATGACGTCATGTGAATTAGAGTAGTTTGTTGAACAAAACCAAGTTGTGACTTGTCTGCAATACTGGAAATACCAAGAGGTTTAAACAACGACGGCCGTGCAGACAGGATCAGCATTGGAACTTTTTAGGCGTGTTTTTTTTTAAAATTATTGCCTTTCCACAATAATGGTTATTTTATGATAAGAATGGAATCTATTCGTAGCTGCCAAACAGAGCTGTGTAGATTACAAAGCATGTTTTACAGTGCAGCGTAAAAGACGTCAATGTAACGGTATAAAGTTAATCAAACATACCCATCACAATAACCGCGGGATATTACAGTGTTATTGTACAATACTGACACCTTTTGATTTCAAATCTATTCTTTTATTGTATAATAGGTGCTATTTGATTTAAACTCACTGTATATCGAGTTGAAGCAGTGCTTGATTTCACTCCTAGATAATTTCTAACAAGTCATTCAGCTTGTACAAAAAGTACAAAATAATCGTTAAAGTGAACTTCAAATACGTATGACGATACAATACCAGGGCGCTATTGGTCTTAAAGGATTTGTAGACTGGAATAAATGAAAGAAACGGATAAAGGGACATTCAAAGTGGATGGGGGATCATAACCAAGATTCTGAGCATCCTTTCAGCAACTGTTCTTTTGGAAAAAGCTCTTAGCAACTATATTTCCGTACCTGTATATAGAGCTAATTTTGATAAAGAAACACTATGACTTGAGTGTCAGATGTATTGTTTTAAAACAATGTTTTATTACTTCATTACACACGTGAAATTATACAACAATATTAAAAAGGTTTTTAGAAATGAGTCACAAGTTATTCTAATCGGCCATCAAAAAGATTTGCTCACGCCACTTAGTGGTGTTTTTAGATGGAAGGGGCTGATTTTGGGCAATATAATTGTCGAGGGAGACTCACAGCATGACATTTAATAACTCAATGATGGGACTCTGGCTGTAATTCATTTGCCCTCTGCCCTCATCCCCACTCGTAGAAACGTCACTGCCGCCGCTGACACACAGTGGCTTTAAATGCAATTTGATCTCTGATTTTATCAAAACAAGATGCATGACCTATCTTGTTGTGGAAGTGTACACGGATAAAATTAGACAGCAACAAATAAATATTGATACTTTAAATTGTTTACAAGATAATGCCAAGTGACACAAACATTCCAATTATTGACACCTCGTTCAGGGTATTGACATTACAATCTGATCCCCGTGTAGTCAGCTCGGCCATGCAACTACTAATGACATTACGTGTAGATATTACATAAGATATACCTCAAGGCGACCATCTTGTACCCTTTCTATTTCACGTTACTGTTGATGACTTTTCTGATATCTACCAGATCAGTGTTTCATAATGTTACAGTATAGCTTGAAGTTCACTGCTCCTTGGTATTAGGGGATGAGAGCCGACACCGGGCCGACTCTTGAAAGCACTGGCACAGGCATCAGAATCTGTCTTACCGTGAAGAGGATTCGAACCCACGGCACCTAAATTTTGAACATAAGTCACTGTTCCTATTTCTGCTCCGGTTGGAAAACCTTTACCGGATACCTGTATACCATTTATGACTCCCCAACCCTACATCCTTACAACTGAAAGTAGATCGATGATACTATAAATGGCTGGTCAATCTGAAAAGTATAAAATCACCATGTAATGCTGTATCTCTATTCCCTCAAAACCATACCCAATTGTTGTCACGATAGAAGCCACCAGGCAGACCTATCCACTATAGTGGTCCTCATCGGAAGTGTCATTTTGTTTTTGCCTACAATGGCCCTGGCCCTAATAAATTGTTTCCTACGCAGTCTGGTAACATTGGATGTAATAAATTAAATTCTTGACTAAAATTTTAGACTTTCACAGAATTCCTTAGTACATGTAATTTCCTATTTTCAATGTTATCCGAACAACAACAATATTCCAATAACCATTATACCAACAACAACAATATTCCAATAACCATATCTCCATCAGCGACATCATAATAACCAGGATAATTTTATCATATCATGTAATTATCTCTTGATATGATTGATGTAGTGACGTGATAATTGGTCTCTTATAATTTACCTTGTTCCTGATGATAAGAATCGATAATGGCCAGGATCTCTCTAATTGGATTCACACCTTTACTGTACACACAACAAGTTCATGGTCATCGTTGAAAATGAAAGGAAATGAAATGGAGTTTTACATTCTGCTTTTCTTCACCCGGTTAGGCATATGATTGGCAAAGCCATGCAGTATGCAATGATAGAAAATTTTACAAGCCCTTACAATTAACCTACTCTTTTTCGATTTTCAACTGTCGAGGGATCTTAAACGTGCACAGCCTGTAGCACACGAGGCTTCGGCTAAATGATCCCTTCATCAGTTGACAGGTGTAGATTGGGTTAGAAAATCCAAACCCTGATGGTGAAAAAGCAAAATACGGTGCAAGAAACGAGTAAGATGTAAAACTTCTTCCATTTCAAAACAATAATTTGTCAAGAGAGAATAACTTGTTCTAATTAATGTAATATTTAGGCACATAGAATATAAGTTTAAAATTCAACTTCAATTACTATAGATTTCCTGAATGACCTGGATTAGAGCTCGATGCTTTATGCTTGCAATTCCACAGCCCAAAGGGAATATAAAGTTCATATAGGAAATTAACCAATTATTGCCAATATTGGCACGTTGGTTTGTTTCCAATTCACATTACGCACCAGAATGCATTAATATTAACCCTACATCACCAATATTCACACTTGTTGAGTAGATGGTGTGAACTACAAGTTTACTAGGTGATAAAACAACCCTAAAGAGATTCAAATTCTTGTTAACAAAGGGTTAATAAACCGATGAGTCACTGAAGAATAATTTGCTAATTAAAAATCATTATTTTTCATGTGAGAAATAATCCCACTTTGTCGGAATTTATGTTTATTTTCTTGTGAAATGTTTGGAACCACAAGTAGAAAACCGACATGTACCTATCGAAAGCAACATTTTATGACCGCAGATCAAGTAAGTAGACATGAAATGAGTCTAAAGGCAGTCTGGATCATTCCTTCCGCCATGCCTGGGAGAGACCTTAATGGATCCGATATGTTGTGTGCACTAAAAACTAAATAGAATCGGACTCGAACCCACGGAACTCAATTGAAATATCAGACATTTTCGTTTTTACATTATTACTCTCCGTAATCCCATTTATTTTCATGGTCCCAATGCATGTCGGGTTACACAAAGTATACTGTATTACTCAGTTTACAGCCACTCTTGAGAGATTATGTGAGAGAAAGAATTGAAGTACAGACCATATGACTCAATACATTATAAGATCATAAAAAAATTGACAATGCATTTAGCATAGAATTTAGTCTTGGTCAATGGTTAACATTATTTTCCCCGTCCTTTCTAAAAGATTTTTTAACACATTATCTTATTTCAGCTTATTAAAGATTTAACACATGTAGTTTTACCCCTTGGCCTTATTTTCTTAAATAGGGACATAATATTGCCATTGGTAGGGTCCCAGCATCAATTGTGAACTATTTTGAATTATGTGTTAACCTTTTAGCAACTTACTTTGGTACATCTTTTTAATATCTGTAGTCGGGGCCCCCTTAGGGTTTGGTTTTACTAGGGGACTTGGTTTTACTAGGGGACTTGGTTTTACTAGGGGTTTGGTTTTACTAGGGTTTGGTTTTACTAGGGTACTTGGTTTTACTAGGGTACTTGGTTTTACTAGGGTTTGGTTTTACTAGGGGACTTGGTTTTACTAGGGTTTGGTTTTACTAGGGGACTTGGTTGGTTTTACTAGGGGACTTGGTTTTACTAGGGGACTTGGTTTTACTAGGGTTTGGTTTTACTAGGGGACTTGGTTTTACTAGGGGACTTGGTTTTACTAGGGGACTTGGTTTTACTAGGGTTTGGTTTTACTAGGGGACTTGGTTTTACTAGGGGACTTGGTTTTACTAGGGTACTTGGTTTTACTAGGGTACTTGGTTTTACTAAGGTACTTGGTTTTACTAGGGTTTGGTTTTACTAGGGTTTGGTTTTACTAGGGGACTTGGTTTTACTAGGGGACTTGGTTTTACTAGGGTACTTGGTTTTACTAGGGGACTTGGTTTTACTAGGGTTTGGTTTTACTAGGGGACTTGGTTTTACTAGGGTACTTGGTTTTACTAGGGGACTTGGTTTTACTAGGGGACTTGGTTTTACTAGGGGACTTGGTTTTACTAGGGGACTTGGTTTTACTAGGGGACTTGGTTTTACTAGGGGACTTGGTTTTACTAGGGGACTTGGTTTTACTAGGGGACTTGGTTTTACTAGGGGACTTGGTTTTACTAGGGGACTTGGTTTTACTAGGGGACTTGTTTTTACTAGGGGACTTGTTTTTACTAGGGACTTGGTTTTACTAGGGTTTGGTTTTACTAGGGGACTTGGTTTTACTAGGGGACTTGGTTTTACTAGGGGACTTGGTTTTACTAGGGGACTTGGTTTTACTAGGGATCGGGTTTACTATG